CCTTCTCCTACTATTCTCTTTTTCTTATGTTTTTGGTGTAAAGCACGCCACCGCTGGACTCAGTGGAGATGTGTTCTCTGGAGGGACGAACCACACTTCTCTGTCTGGCAATCCATCCGACGTTTCTGGCTTGGGTGGCTGCCAGGAGGTATTTGCCTGACTGCATTATGCCAAGTGTAAAGTTTGTTGGAGGGGGGGATTATGGTGTGCGGTTGTTCTTCAGGGGTTGGGCTTGGCCCCTTAGTTCCAGTGAAGGGAACCCTTAGGGCATCAGCATGCCAAGACATTTTGGACAATTTCATGTTCCCAACCTTGTGGGAACAGTTTGAGGATGGCCCCTTCCTGTTCCAACATGACTGTGCACCAATCAACAAAGCAAGGTCCATAAGGACATGGTTGAGCAAGTTTGGAGTGGAGGAACTTGACTGGCCTGCACAGGTTCCTGACCTCAACCTGAGAGAACACCTTTGTGATGAATTTGAGCGTAGATGGCAAGCCAGGCCTTCTCATCCGACATCAGTGCCTTACCTCACAAATGCGCTTCTGGAAGAATGGTAAAACATTCCCATAGACACACTCCTAAACCTTGTAGACAGCCTTCCCAGAAGAGTTGAAACTGTTTTAGCTGCAAAGAGTGGGCCAACTCAATATTGAACAGGTTTCTGTTTGTGTAAAGGCAGGCGTCCCAATACTTTTGGCAATATAGTGTGTGTGTGTGTGTATACATATATATACAGTCAGGTCCATAAATAATGGGACATCAACACAATTCTAACATTTTTGGCTCTATACACCACCACAATGGATTTGAAATGAAACCAACAAGATGTGCTTTAACTGCAGACTGTCAGCTTTAATTTGAGGGTATTTACATCCAAATCAGGTGAACGGTGTAGGAATTACAACAGTTTGCATATGTGCCTCCCACTTGTTAAGGGGCCAAAAGTAATGGGACAATTGGCTTCTCAGCTGTTCCATGGCCAGGTGTGTGTTATTCCCTCATTATCCCAATTACAATGAGCAGATAAAAGGTCCAGAGTTAATTTCAAGTGTGCTATTTGCATTTGGAATCTGTCGCTGTCAACTCTCAAGATGAGATCCAAAGAGCTGTCACTATCAGTGAAGCAAGCCATCATTAGGCTGAAAAAAACAAAACAAACCCATCAGAGAGATAGCAAAAACATTAGACGTGGCTAAAACAACTGTTTGGAACATCCTTAAAAAGAAGGAACGCACCGGTGAGCTCAGCAACACCAAAAGACCCGGAAGACCACGGAAAACAACTGTGGTGGATGACCGAAGAATTCTTTCCCTGGTGAAGAAAACACCCTTCACAACAGTTGGCCAGATCAAGAACACTCTCCAGGAGGTAGGTGTATGTGTGTCAAAGTCAACAATCAAGAGAAGACTTCACCAGAGTGAATACAGAGGGTTCACCACAAGATGGAAACCATTGGTGAGCCTCAAAAACAGGAAGGCCAGATTAGAGTTTGCCAAACGACATGTAAAAAAGCCTTCACAGTTCAGGAACAACATCCTATGGACAGATGAGACCAAGATCAACTTGTACCAGAGTGATGGGAAGAGAAGAGTATGGAGAAGGAAAGGAACTGCTCATGATCCTAAGCATACCACCTCATCAGTGAAGCATGGTGGTGGTAGTGTCATGGCGTGGGCATGTATGGCTGCCTATGGAACTGCTTCTCTTGTATTTATTGATGATGTGACTGCTGACAAAAGCAGCAGGATGAATTCTGAAGTGTTTCCGGCAATATTATCTGCTCATATTCAGCCAAATGCTTCACAACTCATTGGACGCCGCTTCACAATGCAGATGGACAATGACCCTAAGCAGACTGCAAAAGCAACCAAAGAGTTTTTTAAGGGAAAGAAGTGGAATGTTATGCAATGGCCAAGTCCATCACCTGACCTGAATCCAATTGAGCATGCATTTCACTTGCTGAAGACAAACCTGAAGGGAAAATGCCCCAAGAACAAGCAGGAACTGAACACAGTTGCAGTAGAGGCCTGGCAGAGCATCACCAGGGATGAAACCCAGCGTCTGGTGATGTCTATGCGTTCCAGACTTCAGGCTGTAATTGACTGCAAAGGATTTGCAACCAAGTATTAAAAAGTGAAAGTTTGATTTATGATTATTATTCTGTCCCATTACTTTTGGTCTCTTAACAAGTGGGAGGCACATATGCAAACTGTTGTAATTCCTACACCGTTCACCTGATTTGGATGTAAATACCCTCAAATTAAAGCTGACAGTTTGCAGTTAAAGCACATCTTGTTCGTTTCATTTCAAATCCATTGTGGTGGTGTATAGAGCCAAAAATGTTAGAATTGTGTCCATGTCCCAATATTTATGGACCTGACTGTATATAAAATCCAGTGGTTGCCACTGCACACATATCAGAGATAACAATGGGCCCGAGTGTGCAACAAAGACTGTAGTACATATAGTTCAAATGGGAAAACGGCACCCACGGGTCTTGAGAGGTGAACACACAGGGGTAGATTTACTAAATGAGGAAAGAACAAACAGCGCGCTGAGTAACAGTCTGCAATAGGGAGTGTAGACATCCAATATGCTGACGCGTTTCGAGGAGTTGCCTCTTCCTCAAAGGGCGCGGTGTTGACCCAGCTGTTCTTTTATGATATGCCTTGACTTTATTGTCGTTTGTGAGTACAACACCTATTTTATTTCTTATATCAAAACATTTTTTATGGTAATGCATTAGGCCTGTGCCCCCTCTGTTTGTTCTTTCCTCATTCAGTATATTTGGATTCCTCCGGTCTATTTGAGGGCAGCTAGGTGTGCATGTTCCAGGACATTCTTAATGTGGTTGTAGCCTGCATCGAGTCCATCCCTAAGCGCAGCAGCATTTGTGTTTGCTGATAGATTTACTAAAACAGGTGTGTCACTCACACTCACACTCATGGTGACTAGCTAACCAGGGCGTGATCCTTGACTGGGCTAAGAGGGAATGACGGAGACTTATTCTGAGCAATGTGACTTGCCTTGCCTTGACACACTTTCACAGCCCGCACTACCTTTGGTTACCACTAGAGGGAAACTCCACTCCAATCCAGCTGGCAGACCACACACACAGGCAGATACAAATCTTACATACAGTGGGGAAAATTATTATTTGATTCCCTGCAGATTTTGTAAATTTGCCCACTTACAAAGAAATGAAGGGTCTATAATTTGTATCCATTTATTTTTTAAATGATAGAGACAGAATGTCAACCAGAAACCCAGAAACAACACGATACCAATGTTATAAATTGAGTTCCAATTCAGTGAGTAAAATAGGTATTTGATCCCCAAGCAAAACATGACTTAGTACTTAGTGGAGGAACCCTTGTTGGCAAGTGCAGAGGTAAGACATTTCTTATAGTTGGTTACCTGGTTTGCACACATTGCAGGAGGGATTTTGGTCCACTCTTCTTCACGGATCTTCTTAAAATCCTTAAGGTTTTTTGTCTGTCACTTCGCAACTCGAAGTTTCAGCTCCCTCCATTAATTTTCTGTAGGATTAAGGTCTGGGGACTGGCTAGGCCACTCCATGACCTTAATTTGCTTCTTCTTGAGCCCCTTCTTTGTTGCCTTGGCGGTATGTTTTGGGTCATTGTCATGCTGGAAGACCCTTCCACAACCCATCTTCAGTGTTCTGGCTGAGGGAAGAAGGTTCTCATCCAAGATTTTACAAAACATGGCTCTATCCATTGGCCACTTAATGCGACAAAGTTGGCTTGGGGGCAGCAGGCGCTTTCACAACCCGAAATAGAAAGCGGCGTAAGATTACGTCACTTTGCCCAGAGCCGCTGCTGCTCGCCCGCAAAATGTGGTGTGACCACTGGCATCAAGGGTAATACTTTTAAAGCACGCAGCCACGCACTTTCTTCTTTTTAAGGACCGTTTTTGCCCAATTTTATTTAAAGGAAAACAAGAAAGTCCATACAATATAGGTTTCCCACACAGGGGTACCCACCATCAATGCAAAAGAAAAAAGATTCAGCCTCCTGGCTCTCTTTAGCAGCACTGCTGCTCAGGCTTTATGCCCCGGTCCTCTTGACCATTCACATACAAAACACTGCACCTTGGTTAGCGCCCTTTGACAGCATTCCTGCTTCTCCAGCCCACAGGCTTGGGCCCCCTGTCTGCTCTGTCAGACTACTCTGTGCCACCATGCACACTTGTGGTTGTTCCCTTACAACCACATGAACTCCTTAGGAGGGTGGAGCCCAGAACCCTGGTCCTGACTCTAGAAGAGACCCACACACAACTGCCCAATCACTCTCTTCGCCATTCCCAAAACCTGGTCCCAGGATTGGAGATATCCTTCCACCCAGATCACTGCGAATTCTCCAAACTCCAGGTCCCAAACAGAGTTTTGCAAAGAACCGAGGAAACTGAAAACAAAGTCTCCTCCAACTTAACCACTAGCCTACAGGGCACTTATACCCCCTTCCTGCCCAGGCCAATTTCCAGCTTTCAGCGATGTCGCACTTTGAATGACAATTGCGCGGTCATGCAACACTGTACCCATATTAAATTTTTATCATTTTTTTGTGACAGATAGATCTTTATTTTGGTGGTATTTAATCACCTCAGGGTTTTTTTATTTTTTCTTAAACAAACCAAAAACCACTGAAAATGTTGAAAAAAATATTTTTTTTCTTAGTTTTTGTTATAAAATTTTGAAAATAAGTGATTTTTCTCCTTCACTGATGTGCACTAATGAGGCTGTAGTGATGGGCACTGATAGGTTGCACTAATGGACACTGATAGGTGGCACTGATGGGCACTGATGAGGAGGCACTGGTAGGTGGCACTGATGGGCATTGACAGGCATCACTGATGGGCACTGAAAGGCAGCACTGATACATGGCACTGATACATGGCACTGATAGGCAGCACTGACTGGCACTAATAGGCGGCACTGACTGGCACTGTTATGCAGCACTGACTGGCACTGTTAGGCAGCACTGACAGGCACTGATAGGCGGCACTGATGCGCACTGATAGCCAGCACTGACTGGCACTGGTTGGCACTAATAGGTGGCACTGATTGGCAGCACTGATAGGTGGCACTGACTGGCATTGATAGGTGGCACTGACTGGCAGTGATGGGTGACACTGAAAGGCAGCTCAGATGGGCACTGATATGTGGCATTGATGTGCACTGGTAGGCACTGATATGTGGCACTGATGGGCACTGGCACAAGGCACTGATGAGCACTGACATAAGGCACTGATGGACACTGACAGGTGGCACTGCTGGGGCTACACTGATCATCAGGGCACACTGATCATCAGTGCCCTGATGATCAGTGTACATGTCCCCTCCGCGGAAAGCTGATTACCGGCTCTCCTCTCGAGCTGTCAGCGTGACAGCTAGAGAGGAGAGAAATGTCGATAACCGGCATTTCCCTGTTTACATGTGATCAGCTGTGATTGGACACAGCTGATCACATGACCGAGCCGACATCTTCGAGGGACACAGCGCACTGCCGATCGCCACACTGTGTGCTCCCTGAGCTGCGCATGTGCAGTGAGAATGGGAGGGTGTCATATGACGTCCTCCCAGAACGAGAGAACCACCTTGCGCCCATCATAGTACTATATGGCAGGCGGGAGGTGGTTAAACAAGCTCCCTGGAGCCCCTCAACCTGCCTTGTTGTGAATCCTGGGCGAAATATCATTTTTTACATCGTGACAGATCACCACAGTGTCACAGTGGGTAAGCAATTGGCTTAAATGTTGTTTTTTTTTAATTCTCAATATGGTATTTTTTATTTTATTTTGTTTAACATTTTTTAATTATTATTTCAAATGCTTTTATCAGAATAGTACAATGTTGCCATAGTAACATTGTAGTACTGTGGGGGGAGGGGTGATCAGGGATTTTTTTTTGCAGTTTGCTTTGCAGGAGAAATAAAGATAATTTCTCCTGCAATGCAAAGCTTGAGTTAGGTTTATGACAGCTCAAGATAGTGATCTGTGACTGGCTGGAGCTGGTCATATGGTACAGGGTGCTGTGATTGGCCCCATGTATCATGTGACAGATGTGGGCCAATCACAGCTTACTAGGAAGAGATGAAGAGCTGTTATGAATCAAATTGATTCATAACATCTTTGCTTACATTGTGATCATGTCCAACGAACACAGCAGTCGAGGGTGGGGAGTGCTGCGCGTCCGCTCGGGCGCACACAGCGCCCCCCTGTGTTAGTACAGCCAGAGCGACGTACCCGTATGTCGCTTTGCCTGTAGCTGCTGCCCGGCCGCAGTACATTGTGGGCAGGTGGGCAGGAAGCAGTTAAGTTATCTCTAATAACACAAGATTAAACTATATCTACTACTGAACTACTTCTACAGATCCCATCATATCTCAGCTACTCATAAATGTATTCTACTTTTACATTTATGTTTCAAGGTGCACTTAACCTCTTGCCGCCCAGCCACTGCATTAAAACGGGTGGCAGGGCAGCACGGCTGCACAAAAGCACGTTTTAAAACGTGCTCCGCGCTCCCGAGGTTTTCGCGGGCAGGGGGCGCGCGCGCTCCCGCCGACCCGCGGGTGTCACGATTTGATCCCGGAGGGATCAATCATCCGGTTTCAGCCTGTGATGTCTGGCTGAAATCGGATGATCGGTCCCTGTCCTATCCTGTCCTGTGTTGACATTTACACAGGACAGGATATGATGTCATTCTTCTCTGCCTGGGCACATTCGTCCCAGAGAGAGAAGAAGACAGAAAAACTGTGAGTACAAAAGCACTACACAGACAGAACACTCTAGGACACATTTAACCCCCTGATCCCCCCCCCCAGTTAACCCCTTCACTGCCCTGTCACCAGTGTCATTGATCAGTGAACAGATTTTTACTGATCACTGTATCAGTGTCGCTGGCGACTTCCAATAGTGTTAGCGCCCCTCCCAGATAGCGCCAGTTTGCCCTCTAGTACACCAGTAATCCTGTTTAACCCCTTGATCGCCCCCCCCAGTTAACCCCTTCACTTCCCTGTCACCAGTGTCATTGATCAGTGAACAGATTTTTACTGATCACTGTATCAGTGTCGCTGGTGACTTCAAATAGTGTTAGCACCCCTCCCAGATAGCGCCAGATTGCCCGCTAGTACACCAGTAATCCCATTTAACCCCTTGATCACCCCCCCCCCCCCCCCCCCCCCCCCAGTTAACCCCTTCACCGACCTGTCACCAGTGTCAATGATCATTGAACAGATTTTTACTGATCACTGTATCAGTGTTGCTGGCGACTTCCAATAGTGTTAACGCCCCTCCCAGATAGCGCCAGTTTGCCCGCTAGTACACCAGTAATCTCGTTTAAAACCCCTTGATCGCCCCCCAGTTAACCCCTTCACTGCCCTGTCACCAGTGCCATTGATCAGTGAACAGATTTTTACTGATCACTGTATCAGTGTCGCTGGCGACTTCAAATAGTGTTAGCGCCCCTCCCAGATAGTGCCAGATTGCCCGCTAGTACACCAGTAATCCCATTTAACCCCTTCATCGCCCCCCCCCCCCCCCAGTTAACCCCTTCACTGCCCTGTCACCAGTGTCATTGATCAGTGAACAGATTTTTACAGATTTTTACTGATCACTGTATCAGTGTCGCTGGCGACTTCCAATAGTATTAGCGCCCAAAAACATGTAGCAAAATACATTTTGGCTTAAATTTATGACTAACTTTGAGTTTACGATATATTTTTTTATAGCTGAAAGTAGAAAATATTATTTTTTTTTTTCAAAATTTCATGATTTTTTTGTTCATAGCGCAAAAAATAAAAAGCGCACAGGTGATAAAATACCACCAAAAGAAAGCTCTATTTGTGTGAAAAAAAGGACGTAAATTTCGTTTGGGTACAGCATTGCATGACCGCGCAATTATCATTTGAATTAGTGCAGTGCCAAACAGCAAAAAAAGGCCTGGTCATTAACCAATTCAATACCGTGCAATTTTACACCTTCCTGCCCAGGCCATTTTTCAGGTTTCAGCGCTCTCACACTTTGAATGACAATTGCACGGTCATACAACATTGTACCCAAACTAAAATTTTATCATTTTCTTCACACAACTAGAGCTTTCTTTTGGTGGTATTTAATCATCGCTGGGGTTTTTTTATTTTTTGCTAAATTAACAAAAAAAGCCAGAATATTTGGGGAAAAAAACACGTTTTTCTTTGTTTCTGTTATAAAAGTTTGCAAATAAATAATTGTTCTTCATAAATTTAGGCCGAGATGTATTCTGCTACATGTCTTTGGTGAAAATAACCCAAATTAGGATGTATTTTTTAGTTTGTAGGAAAGTTATAGAGTTCACAAACTATGGTATAGATCTGAATATTGATCAGTCCTGAAGTACTGACAGCCAATCTAATTTCTTGAAGTCCAAGAATGTCAGAATAGTACAGATATCCCCCAAATTACCACTTTTTGCAAAGTAGACAGTCCGACGTATTTCATAAGAGGCATGGCGAGTTTTTGAAGTTGTATTTTTTTTGTCATAATTTTTTGGAAAATGAAAAAATAAAAAAAATTATTTTCACTATTTTTTTTTTTACATACTGTCACCAATGCAGTACAGCGTCATCATATAACTGGCATGGCGGTGATCAGGGACACTGACTGGTGACAGTGTGAAAAAAATATATATATGGGTTTTTTTTGTTTTTTTTATTTTAAATTTTTTATAAAAAAATTTTTTCTTTGTTTTAAGATTTTTTTTTCATATTTCACTATGTCCAAAGTAGTACAATGTTACCATAGTAACATTGTACTACTTTGGGGAAGTGATCAGTATTTTTTTTTTTACACAATTTGCTTATAGCAAAAAAAGTGGAGAATTTTAAAGCACGGTTAGGTTATAAAAGAATATCCCAAGCTTAGAACATCTCACATAGCACTGTTCAAACCATCATCTGAAAATGGAAAGAGTATGGCACAACTGCTAACCTACCAAGACATGGCAGTCCACCTAGACTGACAGGTTAGGCAAGGAGAGCATTAATCAGAGAAGCAGCCACGGGGCCTATGGTAACTCTGGAGGAGCTGCAGAGATCCACAGCTCAGGTGGGAGAATCTGTCTACAGGACAACTATTAGTCATGCACTCCACAAATCTGGCCTTTATGGAAGCGTGGCAAGAAGAGAGCCATTGTTGAAAGAACGCCATAAGAAGTCCCATTTGCAGTTTGCGAGAGAAGCCATGTGGGGGACAGAGAAAACATGTGGAAGAAGGTGCTCTGGTCAGATGAGATCAAATTGAACTTCTTGGCCTAAAAGCAAAACGCTATGTGTGGTGGAAAACTAACACTGCACATCACCCTGAACACATCATCCCCACCGTGAAAAATGGTGGCGGCAGCATCATGTTGTGGGGATGTTTTTCTTTAGCAGGAACAGGGAAGCTGGTCAGAGCTGATGGGAAGATGGATGGAACCAAATACAGGGCAATCTTAGAAGAAAACCTGTTAGAGTTCGCAAAAGGCTTGAGACTGGGGTGGAGGTTCACCTTCCAGCAGGACAACGAACCTAAACATACAGCCAGAGCTACATGTGTTAGAATGGCCCAGCAAAGTCAAGACGTAAATCCAATTGAGAATCTGTGGCAAGAATTGAACATTTTCTTTTCTTTTGAGGTTTACTTTGGTCAAGGGAGCCATTTGGAAGGCTTCAACACCAGGATTTTTTGGAATTTTCACTGAGTGCCTATATATATTTTTTTTGAAGGACACAATTTTTTGTTTTTTGCACTGATTTATATTTGGACATTTTTTTTATATTATTCAAATTTTGATAAATGTTTTATTTTATTATATGATTGAAGATTTATATATGGTATAGGTAGCATATGATTATTCACAGATTGTTACACTTTTAGGGTGAAAGTGTTTATTTATGCTATTGGGTATACGTTTGGATGTAGATTTATTTAGGGGATACCGTAAATTCAGATAAAGACTTGAAAATTGCTGTTCACAGACGCTCTCCATCCAATCTAACAGAGCTTGAGCTATTTTGCAAGGAAGAATGGGCAAAAATTTCACTTTCTAGATGTGCAAAGCTGGTAGAGACATCCCCAAAAAGACTTCCAGCTGTAATTGCAGCGAAAGGTGGTTCTACTAAGTATCAACTCAGGGGGCGGAATACAAATGCATGCCACACTTTTCAGATATTTATTTGTAAAAAATCTTGAAAACCATTTATCATTTTCCTTCCACTTCACAATTATGTGCCAATTTGTGTTGGTCTATCACATAAAATCCCAATAAAATACATTTACGTTTTTGTTGTAACAAGACAAAATGTGGAAAATTTCAAGGGGTATGAATACTTTTTCAAGGCACTGTATATTTTAAAAAGCGTGGAAACATTTTGCAGAACATCAATTTTTCTTTGTTCACATGCACACAGTTTTTGATGGAACTCAGCAGGCAGATTGTTTCAAACATCTTGGGACATTAATAACAGATATTCTGTGGATGTAGGCTCTCTCAGATTCTTCTGTCTCTTCTTGTAATCCCAGACAGACTC